TGATTACTTTAAAATAAACTTAAAGTAAACTTAAAACTATTATTTAGTTATTATATTAAACTATTATTAAGGAAACATAATTGTTGTAATAAATTTAATTACTTTATTATCAAAATTAAATAATTCATTTTATTCATATACCAGAAGAAAATGTACATTTTAATTAATGATATATAACATAATTTCTCAATCTCCCAAATTCATTGAATATTCGCAGATTTATTATTTTATAATTTAAATAACTATTAATTTACACCATTATACTTTTATACTTTATACATACCAATATTTTTGTATAAATAAATAATTAATTGGCTGATGAACATTAGCTTGAAACTATTAACTTTTCTTACATAATAAATTAAGAACACGAAAATAAAGTATTTGATTGCCTAAAAAAATAAATAAAAATGATAGAGAACGACATATCTCTTGACGAGAAAACTCTGTTTAGGTCGGCCTCCTTTGTAATTCCCTAATATAATTCTAAATTCTCTTATTTATTAACTCTTTAAAATATCTATTTTTTTTGCTTTATAAATCATAAAGGATATTTTTAAATGTAATCAATAAATAAATAATCTCTAATACACGCGCACACGCGCAGATTGAGCTTATAAAAACAATCAACCTCGAGGAGTTAAAAAATTTGTGCTTCTGCTTTTTTATCTCTCTTACTAACGGATTTATTGCCATAAACATAATAGCGCAAAGGTTTATTGGCCCATTCTAGACCACAGCTATCAATTCCGATCCTGGTAGATTTGACGATCTTGATGGCATTTGATACGTTGTCGTCCTCAATCCATAGACTTTTCCATGTACAAACAGAATATCTGCTGTGCTGCTTATTAATCTGATACGCCATGCAGAGCTTCGACGGACCGTTACATAATTCATGTTGCTTTAAGTCAACTTTTCTAGTTTTCAAGATGTTACGTTGATCAGCCATGTGTTCCATACCTTCCAGGGGATCGACAGCTCGCACCAGTACCGCGCATCCGTCACCTAAGACCCCAATAATAAGATGAAGATCTTTCGAGTTGTAAATATAAAAGATCTAATCTGCTAAATATTTATTCAAAACTCTGTAACATTTCTCTTAACGTTATAGACTATACTTTTTTTCACGCAGAAAGAAGCATCGACGATTGAAGAGGAGTGTAAAAAGATTCTAGCACAATTTCAACAAAAACAGGGATTAGCTCTGATTTAATTTTTATTTTGAAATTTGTAAAGAAATAATTTGTAAAAAAATTTGCTTGAAATATAAATTTAAATTTTAAGATTTTAGAAAGCTGGATAGTAAACTAGGGAAATCCCTCCCCCCTCCAATTTTAAAGAGCTTCGAATATGTTAAAATATAGACAAAAATATAGACAAAATAAGAGACATATTTTGTATATTTACGTTTTCGCACATTAAGAGAACGTGCCTCTACCCTTAATTTTCAAAAATTTTTAAATTTTTATAATAACAAAAATTGAAGAACATTTTACGCTAAAAAAAATATCTAAAAAAAATCATTTTTCGACGATTTTTCCTGTAAATTTTTATCAGAAGCTTAGTTTTTGAATTATAAGGGAAAACAGTTCGCAAATCACGGGCTGCGTATAGAAAATAAAACGGAGCGCTGCAACTCACCGTTCGACATGGGCAATTGCGTGTACGTATACGTGCGCACGCGTGTAAGAACATATATGTGTTACAGTATAGCAATCAATTCGCAGTGAATGCCCCACATAATCGCCCACGTCGGACAGTGAGTTGCACCGCTCCTGTTTATCTTCTATACGCGGCCCGCAATTCGCGAACTGTTTTCCCTTATATTGAAAACCTTATATTGAAAACCTAAGCTTCTGATAAAAATCATTTGATAGAAGAAAAATCATCTTAGAATCGACTCACGAATATAACATTTTAAGAATAAATGGTTATTTTGAATCCTGTGATACTGCATATGTATCGTTTCATACCGCGGATTTGTTACATGATATTCAAATGTTTTTGATGATATATCAAAGAATATACAAAGTATTTGGAATAATTAAACACAAGTTATAAATAAAAAAATGATTTTTATAAAATAGAAAATTTATAACATCATTCATTTAATTTTGATCTTTTGAGCAACTAGCTCTAATGTTCAATATATATTTTATTGTCAAATTTATATTTCGCAATATCTTATTACCGCAACACTATGTAAGAAATAGATTTACTGAGGTATAATTTTATTTGCATACATTGTTTACATGAGCATCAGAAAATTTTGATGAAACTTTTCGGAATCTTTGTTTCACTCTCTCAATTTTTTTTGGCTTACCACTTCTTCAAAATTTAATTCCTCTTCTTTTATTTTCTATCAAAATATTACACGATGTCACATAACATTATATAATTTTCTTCGTCGTCAATGAGCTGTATTTCTTCTGTTTCTGGTACATCAAATACATTTTGAAAATCCAATGATTCTTTCTATTTCATATTCTCCATTATACATCTTTTTTAACGTACATTTTATTTTGTCCTTCATTTTAAGTTGTAATAAAAGTTTCTGGATAATTCAAAAGAGTAACTGCGAGTAAACTGTGTACAATGATACAATTACATTTCACGGATTAAACTGCATGTTTTCTAAAAATTATAAATATTGTTTGTATATCTATTTCTAATATAATAATTATTTTAAAAATAGAAATAAAAAAAGAAAAAATAATTATTTATACAGCTAATTTATAAATTTGACATATCTTTGTAGTAACTGATTACTTTTATAAAAAATTTGTTAAACAAGAAGAATAAATAATCTTGTTTAATATATATAGATAGATATGGATTATGTACTACTGAAAGTTTTTAAAAAATATTATCATTATTAATTAATATAAATTGTCTATTAAAAAATTCTAGTTAAATGAAACAAATAACTATAATTTTCACTTTAAAAACTTATAAAATAAAAAATACATGAAGATAAACAGTAATAAAACTTTTAAAAGTAGATATTTATTTATTGAGTTCGTATCGCGTTAGTTAATAATACTTTATAAAATGTATTCAATTATAAAATCGCGAATTCATTATAACGATCTGCACTCTTTTATTCCAATGTTCATATAAACAATGTATGCAAATAAAAGCATGTCTCTATTTCTTGCATTACGATAATAGCGTTACGATAATAAAACATTACGAAATATAAAAGTTGATCAATAAAATATATTCGAACATTATAATTAGTTACTCTATGTCAAAATTAAGTGAACGATATTTTACAAAAATAATCATTTCTTTATTTGTAATTTGTTTCTAATTGTACAAAGTCCAATCTTCGTACATTCTTTAATACATCATAAACATATTTGAATATTGTTTAACAAACTCGTTATCGTCGTCATTATTATTATTATAAAAGCTCTTATTTCAATAATTATTGCTGCGCTGATACTCTATCGACGGACCGTGTTGTATGCTTTTAATGCTATTCCGCACAGCCAACAGCGATATGAGACAAATACATATGGAGCGCATATATAGAGAGATATCTTTCACTTATTTTTCAAAAATATTATTATGCCTGCAGCAGGCACTTTCTTAATTTTTACGTCTCTCGCGTTTCCGCACGCTCGCGCAATCTACAAGGAAACCGCACTCAAAATAATTAACACTCCTTAAGAAACACAAAAACTTTATTAAAACTAGGACAACTCACTCCATCACGAGACACCTCGTAAACATTTATAAATAACGTAACCGTTGCCTCGGAGAGTGCTTCGCTTCTTCTCCAAACGGCAGGTCGATTCCGCTCGGCCACAGAAGATTCGCGCAATGTTACGTGCTGCAACTCGGTATTCGAGAACCCTTTTTTTTCTTATTCCTTTTTTTATCGAATAGATTTTAAGTGTCTCGATATTAAAATAGTTTTAAATATCTTTTCCTTTTTTTCAACAAACAAGGCCCAAACAGTTATCCCGACAAACTTTCATTTCGTAACCGTTACAAGGTTATTACTTTATTACTAGTCTTGTCAAACAAATCATCAACATTTTCCAATTCTCAGGTTATTTCCTTTTTAGAAAACCCCTCTAATCACCATATTTCGTATCAGAACGTGTTACATTATTGGTTATTGCATTAACAAAAATACCGCCTATCTCGTCTTGAACGAAGATCTTTTACAAAGTTCAGTTCTCGTCAAAAACTCAAAACGGAAACACCTCAATATTCGTCAAGTGTAAAATAAAAAGTCGTGTTTAAAAATAAAAAACTCAATCAGTAAGACAGTTCTCCTGATTTCAAATTCTTTCACATTACGTCGCGTCGCGTCGCATGTAACAGCGGGCATAACGTAACAATATGTTTTTAAACATTAATAAAAAATGATTTTCTTATATATCATTTTTAACATAAAATGCTCTTTAATTTTTGTTATAAAAACTTAAAAATTTTTTTAAATTAAGGGTATAGATAAGGATATAGATGGGAGTGTGAAAAATATAACATTTTTGACAATTTCGAATGCACCGTTATGAAGTGCAACTTGCAACTGTTAAAATTTTTGTTTAAAACTTTTTTCATATCTTTGACAGTTTGAATGATATTCACTCAGAAAGAAAAAACCAATTCTTTCAAGGGGTTTCATCTCCTTAATGTAAGAATGCAGATATAAAAAAATATTGTCTCTTATTTTTGTCTATATTTTAATATACTCAAAGCTCATTAAAATCAGAGGGAGATGCTTGGTTGTGTTTTCTTGTAAGTATTAATTAGATAATCCGTAGTTTTAGATTACGATGCAACGTAAAATAACGAAAGAAATTAACTTTAGTTGTTAATTTAATTGATCTTCTTTCAATTTTTCAATAGCTTGAAAATTAAACTTTGTTAGTCAAAATATGTTTTCGTAAATGATCAAAAGTTTGAAATCAGACAGATACATATTTAAACATAAGGATTTTTTCGTACTTCAGTATTTAACATTTATGAAGCTTGACAGTCACAATGTAAGTGCATTTTTGGCATACAGAATCTTTTTGCTTATAAAAAAATTATAATATAATACTAATACTAATGCTTCCTATTGCATAATATCGTTTTTTATTTGACACGATACCCACATAAAACATAAACTCCAATAGATGTCCATCAAACTTCCATAGCTCCATAGGACATCTATTTCCACGATGAAAATCAGATAGAGATCCAGTCAACTTTCATAATGGATGGTCCTTTAGGAATCCACCGTGGATGTACATTAGATCCGTTATCAATAATCATTTTATAAAAATTAAAAATTTTTTAAATTATTTATAAATTATTGCGTATATCTTATTTATTCGTATTTGATTATGTTTGTATATAAATTATACCAAACACAAGAAACATATTTTGTCGAATAAGAGAAATATCACATGTATTTAACGATCATTAACAAATATATAAACAAGTAAATAGAATATATACATAAATTTATAAATAATAAAATTTATAAATAATTCTCACTTAGAATATGATATTAAAATACTGTATAACTCATAACCTTTACAGTTTTATATACAAGATGAGGCATTTAATGTTACAAGCTGATATCTTTGAAAGTATGCATAATAGCAAAAAATGTTTCAGACAAAAAATTACATCTTTTTAAGGAGGATATAAGACTGTGCTATTGATTTTATCTTGAATAGTTGTTTGGAGGTCACAGAAAGGTCACCTTCAATTTCTTAAATAAAAACCTTCATTTTTTATTACATATTTTTAAGCTAATCTTTAGAATTTTATAAAACACTATAACAAAGTATTTTTCATTAAGTACTTTCTGAGTTATGAAGTTTAAATTTGACATTTGATATACATATGACAATTTGATATAAAATATAAAATGTAAAATATCTCGTAAACTATTCATTTTTTGGCAATTATATTTTAATACTTTTATGCACAGATTAATGAGATAAATCAATTGATAAAAAGAAAATATAAATAGTTGTTTTTCAAAGAGGCTAGGTTGTTGCACATTGCAAATCTATTCTTGTACAAATAAAGCTTCAAAAATCAATTTGTAACACTTTTAATGCTCTACTCTGTATATAGTTAAATTATAAAGGAGTTGCATATGCAATCGGGACATTGACATTGAAACTATTTGCAGCATATGATAATGTGATAACATTCATTGATCAGAGATCTATCATATTTTTACATAAAAGTAAATTTAATTATATTCTGATTCTAACAGATCTCAGAGGTAAAAGGAGCTCAAGTAATATACTACAAAGATGGATGACCCTCGAAAAAATTGTATATAACATTACCGACTGCAAGACAAAAATGATAACTGATTTCATTAGTTCCAATGCACGTTACATGTATATACATTTCATGCCTTCAACGAAATATTTTTGTTCAATATCGTAAAAGTCTTTTTATTAACTTTTTCTGTTTTATAATATCAAATAATGATTCCTTTATTAAGAATCCTTATAATATCGGTTAGCCAACGAAGTTCCATGAACCTTCTATTATTAATTCACGTAACATTTAACAGACATCTAATGCCGATGTCTAATAGAAATCCATTGGACTTCCACAAGACTATAGATTTTTAGTGGACATCGGAAATCTAATAGACATCCACTAGAAGTGCAAATATCCATGACCCACGTTTAATGGATGTCTAATAGAAGCTTTTGTTCTATGTGGGTAATCTTTCTGATTTAAAGCTTTTAAATGATATACCTACTTATCGTATAATCTTTATAAAGGATTGACTCTTGAACTACAGATTATTACATGTAAACAAGATTCTAGCTGAAAGCGCCCTGATCGATCGCAAACTTATTATAAATCCTGATTGGATTATTATATAAAGCTCTTATTGCTTTTAATCGCATTATATGATATACTCACTTTGCTTTATCTTTGCATTGCATGTTTCTTAGTAATTTTATATATTCGATGCCTATCAGCAATTCCTCCGCTTTAAGCAATACATATGTATTTTTCTCTAAATGTTATTTGTTATTGTAATATGTAATATATTATGGACGATTTTTTTACAAACATAATTTAAAATTGTGAAAACAATACTCTTCTTTAAACAAATTTATCCTTTTTCTGTATTCCATATATAAAAATAGTCTTAATCTTTCCCCTTTATCTCATTTTTTTTACAGTTCCAACAATTATTTCCAACAATTTGACACAAAAATAAGATATTGCAATTCTTTGTGATTTAAAAGTGATAAAATAATTATTTATACTCACCTTGACTAGAGATATTAAAGCAATGGTACATGCCATATGTCATATAAACATAAATAGTCCCTGGTGGCATATACATTGGTAAATTACGAGGGGTTATTTTATTCTGATAAGAATGCGATGCCTTGTCAACTGTACCCAAATATCCCTCTGTTTCTACAATTCTGCCCTTGAGGATAGTTCCATTTTCAAGATATCGTACAAGTACTTTTCCTATTGACAAAATATGAAACTTACTAAATAGAACTTGTATAAATCAAAGAAAAAAAGATACAAGATATATAAATTTTTAATGAATATATTATTTTATCAAAATTAAGAACTTTTTATGTCACACATATAAAATAATCTATTAACCTAGCAGTTTTTGTGCTAGGTCTTCACAGGGAGTGTTAAAGAATTCATAAAGCAGTCGGTTAGAAGACAATTTCTTTTCCCAGAGTGTCATAGGAGGATCTTCTAATTGACTCAATTCTGCCTTCATCATCTGCATATCTACAATGGTTTTTATTTTCCATTTACCTGGATTCATGTTTGATTTCAATTTCTTTACTTCATTTTCTCCTAAATATATATGTGCATGCATGAAAAATATATTATTATTATCATTAGTGACAAGGACATTACAAAGTAAAAACAAAAATTTTAAATCAATCTATTGATTTCATAACTAACTTTTAACATGAATTTTCCTTTTGATTTCTTTCTGTATATCTCTGGATTTTTTAGAGGACACAGTAACTTGAGAACATATATTATATACAGTTTCAATATTTCGGCTTCGTAAAGATTTGAGATTCAGTTTTGGTCTTTCATCCGATATCATCTAATAGAAAGTAATATTTTACAAAAGCTATACAATATTTTATACAATAGTTTTAAGAAACATTAACAATTTGAATGCTGTATTGAAAAAAAAAAGATATTTATTTAGAATACTTTCCTCATCCCAAATCTTAATAAAAATATATTTATTCGACGCGTTTTTACTGAAAAAGAAAGAATCCGGCAAGAAAACGCGGCAGTCTTCGCGAAACAAATTAAGCGTTAAAATTCAAGACTTTAGAGGTTAAGATGTCATACTGACTAATTAATCTTTAACATTTTAAAAAATATACTATATATTATATTTATATATATATTTTAAATTTTGTAATATATTTATATATTTTTTATAAATATAAATAAAACTCCGTCTTACAAAATAAATAAATCTGCTATAATCCAACATTAATTAATATCTAAAATAAATATTCTCTGCTTTAAAAATAAAAATTATATAAGAAAATAATTTGTTTTAAAGCAGAGAATTTGTATCTTTAAAGCAAAGAATATTTATTTTTAGGAAATAATTGATATTGGACCATAACACAAACTTATCTATTTTGTAAGACAATTTATTTACATTTATGAAAAATATATAAATATATTTATTAAAATTTAAAAATATATATAAAACATATATTTTTTTAAAATATTAAAGATTAAATGGGTTATTATATATTAAAGATTAAGTAGGTTAAAGATTAAGTTAGTAGATACAGATCTTAAACTCTAATTAAACTTCAAACTTTAATGCTTAATAATTGATTTTGCGAGACACTGTCGTGTTTTTTTATTGGATTCTTTCGTTTTAAGTAAAAACGCGTCAAATGAGTATGTTTTTATTAAGATTTGAAGAGAGAAAAGTATTTTAAATAAATACCTTTGTGATAATTATATTAAATAAAATTTTTAAATCAAATTCTTAATTTTTAAAAGTAAAAAAAATTGTGCTCTTAAAGAAATTTTTATTTTAATTATATTTATATTCCTTTGAAATCCACAAGGTGATTCATTTGTATCTGTTTAACATTCATAAAAATATAAGATATATAAAAATATAAGATAAAAATATAAGATACATAAACCAGCTGGATCTTGATTACCATTTCCATTTTATCATTTTTATCCTCTTTAATTTTATTTTGTTGAATCTTCGTTCTTTTCATTATTTTCCGTGAATTCAATCTCACAATTCCCACTATGGTCTAGTTTCCACCGAAGTCTTCAATTCGATTCTACATCGATCACAGTTTAATCAGTTAGGCTGCGTTCGGAAACTTCACCCGGGTGCATCTGCTAAAGCTCACGCTGTTCGGAAATGCTTGGGGTGTACCAACATGACAGAGATGAAGCCGTTCGGAAATTCTGTTAGAATACACCTCAGTATCGGTACACAATAAGTATTTAATCTTTAAGTCGTAAGAAATTGTCGATTATTCTTTTCATATCATAGTCGATTATTCTTTTCATATTCGATTATAATTAGTCAATTTCTTACTTCTTAAAGCTTAAATCATCTATTGTGGACCGACACTCAAGAGAAAAATTTTCCACCCTGAAATTTCAGGGTGGATGCGGGTAATTCCTTGTATTTAGCAGCATTCTTTAAACTGTAACAATGGCGCATATAATTATTAAAAGAACATAATTTAGAAACATAAATTATGTACTAACGAAAAAAATAAGCCAATATATGATCCTCAAGGATATTTAATAGTATTCGACATGATAGATAAATGATAAATTTGTAATTTATTTGTATTTTTATAAAATAAAATAAAATACATATCTTTTCAGTTAAAAATATGTTTTTTATAGATAAAAACTTAATATCAGTACTTGTTTCGAAAGAATCTTTGGCGTTCTTTCAGCTACAACAAATAACTTTAAACGATATGAATTATGATAAGCCCGAAATTTTAACCTTGAATCTAATAAAGCATCTACGAGTACTCAATCATTAACACAACATGATATGAATTTTTATCGCATCATATTTTTTTGATAATGTACTTTTAATAATATTATAATTATTAAATATATTATCGATCATAATCAAACTATATCTGTTTTTTCAATATTATAGCATCTTGGAAGGATAATAATGCTGCGAAATTATTAATTTATGCTTGGAAAGAACATGAAAGTGATTTTAGGAATGGAAAATGCAAAGTCCTCAGAAATATGGAAAAAAATTTCCACCGTTCTTCAAACTGAAAATAGTCAGTGGATATACACTGGTACACAATGCGAAAACAAATTTAAAGAATTGCGAAAAAAATATATAAAAGTAAAAGCATAATAAGCAATCAGGCAATAGCTGAATGACTTGTAAATTTTTCGATGAATTTGAAAAATTATTGGAAGCTAAACCTTGTCCACAAGGCACAAATGATTATTTGCCGACTAATTGTCGACTTTTTTTAGTTGACTTCAAGTCGACGTTTAGCCGACTAAACGTCGATTTTTCTGTAAAAGTTAGCCTAATCGCCATAACCATATAAAAAATGTTGGTTTATAGTTGTCATAAAGTCGACTGATATAGCTGACTTGTAATCAACTATAGTTGAGACATTTGTCGATTATTAGTCGACTATAAGTTGAGTTGACATTTAGTCTAACTAAAGTTTCTTTAGACTTCTTCTGCCGACTTAGTGTCGGTCCACAATAAGTATTTAATCTTTAAGCCGTAAGAAATTGACTAATCATAGTCGAGTATTCTTTTCATATTCGATTACAATTGGTCAATTTCTTACTTCTTAAAGCTTAAATCACCTATTGTGGACCGACACTTATAGTCGACTAAATGTCGGTCCACAATAAGTATTTAATCTTTACGTCGTAAGAAATTGACCAATTATAGTCGATTATTCTTTTCATATTCGATTATAATTAGTCAATTTCTTACTTCTTAAAGTTTAAATCACCTATTGTGGACCGACACTAACAGTCGACTTTGTGCTGTTGGGTGTATCCAACCTGTTGTCCTAGCTTCTAATTTAAGAAAGTGATCAGCAACATCTAGTTCTCAAAAGAGTGAGATAGAAAATGAATTTTGTAAAGATAAATATGATAAAAAGAAAAAAGTAAAAAAAAGGAGTTCAAAAGGAATTAGGTGAATGGTGTTTTACGAGAAGATGCTAGACGCAGGAAAGAAGCAAGGGAACAGCAACACAAAGAGTTGGTAGCAGCATCTGATTGAGCAGTTGCTATATATAAAGAAATGATAGCTCATCGATAAATTATAAGAATTAATATATAAAAATTAATATATTATCCATATAGCACATTAACATTGAATCAACGTTTTAGAAACGTTAAGTTACAACTATGCTGATGTTGAATCAATGTTGATCAACACTGAATCAATATTGCATAAACGTTGCAATGTAAAAATGTCCGCGAATGTTGATTTATACTTGTAATGTCTACGTCTGATGGACATTGACACAAAATTGTTTCAATGTTAAATCTATGTTGATGGAACATTGATATCATATCAATATGACGTAGATTTTAGATTTTTGCACTACTCTTTTACAATTTTACGTATATTTCATTTTTATAATGCAATTTTAAGTTGCCTATTATTATTAATTTATATATGAAATTATGATATAATAGCAAAATAAAACATAATTTAATACAAATGAAAAAAATAAGAGGCATATAAGCCAAGCCGAATCTTCTTACTTGAAAAATGTTTGCTTATTGAAGTAACAACATTAAACATTTCGATCTGTATTAAGTTATCTTCAGTAATATCTGAGAGAAAACATAGAATATATAAATCTTAAAACAAATTTGTATTACATCAAAATGAGATATTGCTATTGGACTTACACAGAATCAAAAAGACAAATAAAAAAGTCTCCAGTCACTTGTTCTCAACATGAACAGATAGAAACATGAGGTCAGGTCAAGTTAGACAAATGCCCAAAGATATTCTAGTGGTGTCTAAATTATATAAAAACCAATTAAAGTGCTAAATCATACAAACCGTCAAAACGTATTAAAATTAGTCAAATAAAAAGAAAATCACAAATAGTCAAAAACTAAAAAGTCGGAAGTTGGAAAATAAAAGAATAAAAATAAATAAGAAATAAATATTAAAGAAATAAATAAAAAAATTAAATTAAATAAGAAATAAATAAATAAAAAATAAAAATTATTATGTTGAATTGTAAAATTATAAATCATTATGTCCATAAAAATGAGTGAATAAATATCCATGAGCGAAAAGTCGAGTAGTATCAAATAGTAATCATTACTGTTGTCAGAAAGATGTGTAAAACAAACTGATACAGGATTGAAGAAAGGAGACAAGAAAAGAAATAGGAGAAGGGGAAAAAGAAAAAATGTGTGGAGACGGATAACTGGTTAAGGACAGACAGATAATTATCAGGCAAAAGATCCGTGTCCTCTGTTTATTAAGGCCGTGTTGTTTTTGATGTAAAAAAATTTCAATGAAAATTTAATAAATTGGCGACCTTTCGTCTGATTTCAGAAAAAAATTTTAATAAATATTTATGTATATACATACATATATGCATATTCAATGTTGTAGCAACATTTTACAATCAATGTTGAAAAGCCAACACAGATTAGTGTAAAGAAAACATCCGCACATCTATATGAAACATTACGACGTCTTATCAACATTTTTTCAATACTATGTGCTGTATGAGTTACATTCTATTTATATTATATTAAGATAGACTATAAGGATATACATATTCTTTTCTTTGTATTTTGTTACTATATTATGTCTTTTGTTTTTTTTATTTTTGTGTTTTGCATTGTCTTATCTTTTTACATTTCTGTTATTTTTGTTTTTCTTTTTTTTTAGAAATACGAAATTTCATATCTTAGACATTGCCAAAGAGTTAAAAATATTTATTTATTTCAATATTTTTTTGCCGATATTTAAAAAAATATATATATATATAATTTTATATAAATTTTCAATACTATATATTTGTTAAATCTATAATTCTAGTTTATAAAACGGAAAATGTTACTGTGTTCTAAAATAGGATTAAGGAAAGGATTTTGTATTATATTATTATAAATATCTATAAATATAGATTTAATAATTATAGTCAAATATTCCCTCCATTCGAATATTATTAGAAATGATGAAATAATAAAAACTGTATTTTGACAAAATGATTTAATTGATTATAATTACATTGAATTATATATAATTTAATTAAACTTAACAGCTAGAAACCCAAAGAAGATTTAAAAATTATTAACATAAATACTTCTATCAAGCAATCATATTCTAAAATCATTATATCAGCATTGATTATATCAGCATTGATAATCTTTACATCAGTCTCAATATTATATATCAAAGAATTCGCAACTGTAGTCATTTTAATTATATGAGTTTGTTTCTTTTTTATAATAGAATAGAATATAATTCATAGATACTATTAAACTATATCTAAATATTATAATTCAAGCTATTAATGCTGCTAAATAATTGTGTTTTGCTGGACCCTGAACGTCATTATAAATTTCTTCCTCAAGTCCATTAGTTTGGTCTGGTCATGATTTCCTTTATCATTTATTTCATTATATTGCCTTCCCACTTCAATAAAATCCTTCACTCTATCATTATATTTCTTAAGACAGAAATTATGTAGCACACAACAAGTTAATATTACATAAGGAATCAAATCTCATACACCACACTCATATATCAGATATTTAAATCTTCGAAATCTTCTCTTTAACAAAGAAAATGCTTTCTCTATGATGCTATCTCTTTAATAAAGAAAATGCTTTATTTGTCTTATTCTTGATGATTCCTTATTAAAGTTGATTTGAACCTGTATATAAAAAGTATAAGAAAATAATAATTCAATTAATATAGATATGAAAGACAAAATAAAAAAAAATAATAAAGTAAACTAACTTGTGTCAAATTTCTTTTGTTTATATAGGATGGAATGCATCAAGATAATACTGGATAAGCTTTATCAGCAATAATTATTCATTTTCTGGAAAGAACTTTGTACGATTCTCTTGTATAGACATCCACAAATCCGAATTTTTAAATATTCTGGAATTATTCACAGAACCTGCGAATCCCACAAAGCAATCTGTGAACACGAGATCTGCATCGCAAATAGCTTGTAAAGTAAGCATATATTCGCATTTCCTAGTTCTATATGATTCAGCATGAAGCTAGATAGATAAAAACATAAAAATAAGATAAATTATTGTAAAACAACAAAAAAATAATTAAAACAGTATAAAAATAAAATAGTTTTACATGTGGAGCAAGGATAGGTATGTGCGAACCACCAATAGCTCTTATGACATCTGGACACCAATTCCACTAAATCTATTCTTCACAGAATGTAATTTATTTCTTTGTAGCTACACAATAACATTATCTGCTATGTTATTCAAAGCATACACTATTCTACGAAAAGAATCATGTAAAATAGATTTTCCCATGTTGAAACGATCTGCAATAGATATAACACTAATTTAATTATTGCGCAAATTATTACCAAAATAAAATCTAATGTTTAGATATTTATAGAAATATTTATTACCAAAAAGAATCTGGAATTGTCAGAAGTCAAATGACTGACAAGAGCTGATTTCTAACTGGAATCATTGGTCTTCCTTCCTTTTCTATTCGTGTCAATGCCGGAGCTAATTGTCGCTCAAGATTTTCATAAGTTTTTCTGGTCATACGAAAATGTTGATGAAACACTTCATCATTAAATCTTAGTATAATTTCATTGATATATCGCTCTAATCTTGCAGCATCTTCGATTATCAAATCTTATCTGAGCTTCAACGAAATAGTCTCTTCAATTCCACCTCGTCATCACAAAGTTCTGGATGTAAGCTATCCAAAATTATTCTCATTAATTCCTGTCCAGCATTCACGGCACAGGCTACAATAATATTTGCCCGGGATCGCTGTTCGATCGCCATTTTTTATCTATTTATCGTTTGGAAACTATTCGCATCCAGGGAGTATCCTGCCCCCATCACTATTTACCCGGTTGCACTCTCAGGGTGACGTTTCCGAACGTAGCCTTATGATAGTAAGCGTCGGCATCTTTGATGTTGAGGTTTGCGAAACATGACTTATCGCCATAGTCTTGATTGGAAAAAGCACCAATTTCAAAAGATAACATCGTAAAATTAAAAATATTAAAAGTAAAATATTAATGTCTTAAAATTAAATATAAAATTAATTATATACTATAATAAAATAATAAATAACTCAGTAATTCATTCTTTATTATATTTTACTATTTATAAAATATAACAATAAAAATAATAAAACATTTCAGAAGTAAATTACATATATTTTATATTTTACATGCATATAATATAAGATATAATATATATTACAACATAAAAGTTTACATATGTACTATCAAATAGATA